TCTTCTTTTTGAACCTTGCTCGCAAAAGTTGAACTTTGCTACCTCTAAATAAGTCGACATTTGCATGCTTCATGGTCGCTAGTGAAAAAAGATTTTTTTTGACTAATAATAATAATTAGAGCAAAATTTTTTATACCCCTGTACCTAATTTCAGTTGATTTGTACAATTGGTTCTCAAGATATTTAACCGTTCCCATACATTCTAGCGAGCCTGTATAAGCAGATTATTTAATGGAAAACGAAACTCGATTTTGAAGCGTTCACTCTGTATGCAGTGAGTTCACTCTTAACAGATTTGCAGGCCAATTAAAACTGAAAACATTAGGATTCAATTTACCGTTCACTTCGTTATTTATATAAACACAAACTCATTTTACGGAACTTAAGTGATGTTCGTTGTTAACTAACTGCATTATTTCTTTTTGAAAACTGTGGTGTTAAATTAAACTGTTTGTTTTAAATATTTTAATGAAAATACTTGTAGCGAAAATTTTAAATTGTTGCTTGTTGAACAGGTTGATAACGATAAAATTTCTCTTATCTTCATTTACAATAATTTTGCAACAATTTAATTTTACATTTTAAATTCTATGTCAGTCTATGGTCAGAATAAATCAACTTAAAAGGTATTTGTTTTAATTTCTTACTTTACCTTAGAAGAAGTAGATATGGCATACTGGAAAATTTCCATAAAAGAAATAGGGCAAATCCATTACAAATCAGTGCATGAGCAACCACTTAATATCTATAAAAGCAGTATAGTACACATTGCGATAAAAAGAATGAAAATGTTAAACAATTTTTAAACCAAATTATATACTTATATGGATTTCCACACATTTGTATAAAAATGTGTTTATGCTTCCAGAGCAGTTGAAGCAAGGTCTCTGCATTTTGCAAATACTAGGAAATGGAAATTCAATTTCATAACGTCGTTACCAGCTTAACACGCTGTAGTTTTTTTGAACGTGGTAAATCGCTAAGTGAATCGCTATCCATTTCTTTGGGAAACTTGAACAGGTTATCTGAAAATTTTGTTAAGTAGACTTCCTTTCTAATAACAATAACTGAACCAATATATTATATTGATTAAATCGAAAACAATGTACTAATTTTCTCAAATTTTCGTAACTCAGTTAAACTGCAAGTATTTATCCGCTTTAACATGTTGATAACGTCAACAGAAAATATTGTTGAGAGAATATCATTTCAAACACACCAATATTTTTGTTTTAATATCAATAGACAATAATAATAAATAGATTAAATTTGTAAAGTTTTTAAGAATTTATTTAATGTTGGCTTCCTTACTCGAGTATTGTGCTTAGAATCTAAAAAACAGATATATAAAAGTCTAATAAGTAAGTACAGTAAAAACTATTTTATAGTAACAACAACCCAAAAAATGCAACAGCTTCTAGAGTTCTTACTCTCAGTTTATTTCAAAAGATAATTTTTCTTTTAATTCATAACTGTTGTTTCTGTACTTGAAATTTATTACAGCAAATTTATCACGCTATTTGAATGTACACAAAGCCACATAGCAACCGCTATTCAGTTATTTTCACGTTTGGAGTTGAATAGGTATTGCTGAACGTATGTCGTATCACCACAAGCACTTAAGCTAAAATCAATTTAAATGTCAAAGCAATCTGACGATACCTGAAAACAATAGATGAATTTGTCGAAGCACAACTAAATAATTGTGCACTTGAAGCTTAAGTCAAAGACATTAAAATAGTTATGATTATGAGGTACATTTTCCTAACATCAGTTTGGTATCAATTTTATATAAAATGAAATAAATAAAAATAGTATTAATCAGTTTTAGTTGTAACGGTTTTTAATAATTTTTTACTTCAGACATTGTCATCATCATCAATAAAGATTTTCGTCTAATAGAGTGGCAAATTTATTACATCTTTTCCTTGGTATAGTTTATATTGTTATTAATAAATTAGATATTTTTTTAAGAAAGTAGATATTTACAATTTTCTGTACCAAAAGAAACGTTTAAGACTGCGTATTAGTATATAAGCAAAACAATGTCGACTATTTTAAAATAATAATCAATATTTTAAAAAAATACACAATTTCCTAACAATAACTTTGTCAAAGGAGATATTACATTCTGAAAATGTATTGAAAACCCCATAAGAGCCAAACGCAGCGACTAACCTTTAACAATTTGTAGACGGTTAATCCAATACTGTAATTACTACAGAACTTCGCCTAATTTAGATCAATCATTGAAAACAGATGTCTTTCAATTTCATTTTCAATCATCAATTTTGTGCCGATAGAGCTGGAAAATTTAAATAATTACTCTACTTATCCATGTAAGAACTTCAAAACTTTGTTCATTCTAATAGCATATCACCTGCTATCAAGGAAAGTTGCATATCTTATAGCAAAAGCTGCTTACATTAGCATAGATTTGTAGCAGGTTCCAAAACAAAATTAGAATGTATTGAAAAAATGTTACGTGCTTTCGTTAGTTGGTTATAGAAACCTCGCCACTTTCAATAGTATGATTGATCTGATACTTCCGTAGACATTTATCTCATCATCTTGCAAAAGTACTTAGAGTTATGGAAAGTTCTTAAATGCACCACATGGTAAAATTTGCATTTCCTGTGTAAATCAGATTCTGTGCAAAATTTACAATTTTTTTGTAAATAAATGTCTTAACTACGCTTTCCTAAGTAAGGTAACGAACCTTGATTCATAACTGCACATTATCGTGGATGACAATTTCACTAAAGATCTTTCACTTTTAATTTTCAGCAAAGTATGGAACAGACGCCGGTGTTCTACAAATGCGTGCTAGTGTCAGGCCACTAAATGGATTTCTCGGTGTGGGCGTTCAAGTAACCATCAGATAAGAGGCACAGGCAGACGAACAATAATTTTGAATTTTTAAGTTATTTATTACATGAAAGTGGATGTTATTTACGGTGAACCTCCATATATGCGTAGTTTCTGTTCTTAAGAATAATTATTTTTTAATTGATTTCATAAATTGTAATTTATACAGTAATATAGAAATGTTTACAAAAATTCTTCGCAGTAAATATAAATTACTGCACACACGTAACGTGATAAAAAATATCACCAAAAACTCATTAGTTTCAGCCGTCTTATTCGTCTATTTACTGCTAACAAGTGGGGTTAAATTATACTTTGCTTTGTTCTAAATTATCTCGTTCAAATTTATCATCAATAAAAATCGTTTATAGCAGCTACATATCTATAAATAAAATGTAGGGGACCCCGAGGTTAGTTATAGGGGTTGGGTGTTACGTCCATTTATTTTATTTGATAGATGTCGACACTGTACCCCGTACACTGGTTTGAAAGGTGTTGTAAGTCTAACTTCAGTCGGAATTTGGACGGATTTTGTCAAATAAACAGATCAGAAATGTGACTTTTTTATATATTTCAGCAAAGTGTTGATCTTAAATATTAAATAAATGGTGTTTTTAATTAGTAACCTAGAATCGTTGCATTTATTAGGAATATAATTACAATTTAATTACAATTAAAATTTTCATCGGAATTTTTAGCATATGTTTTAATCAGAAAATGGGCTTATAGAAAGAGTTATATAAAGCTTGATGTACATATAATTATAAAAACCAAACCGTCACATAAACAAAATATTTTTCACCACAGAAGAGATAATACAGTATGTTTTTATAAAATTCCAATGTTTCTCCAAAATGTAACTCTAGCAATATTCAGTTGACAGTAAGAGATGGAAGAATCACAAATATGTCAACTTAACTTCTGTGTGATTATAAAAATAATTGTAATTTCTGTTTTAGCTACCGTCTATTTGTGACTTACTTTCATTTATCACAAAACATGTTTTACTCCCCTTCATATTTAAGAAAATATATTATTTCAAAATTCCATCAACCAATCAAACATGATTTTCTCTACCTATATGTAGAAAAATATATCAAACCAAAAATTCTTACACGTTTTCTTAAATGCAAGGCATTTTTTTCTCTTAATAGACGTTAAAATTGGCTACTTTGCTACAAATATCACTCGAGCTGAAAAATTCAATTCCCTTAAACAATTTCAAACAATTTGGTAATGCGCAATATGGAAATTATAAATATAAATTCCTCTTTCGCAATTAAAACCTTCCACTATATGTCGTGCCATATATTGTGTACAATATTTTTCAAATATTCTTAGTTTTTCTGGACCTAAAAAAGTTCATTTGCGTGTAAGTCTCTTCTGTAGATATACAATGCTATTTAAGAGGCAAAAGGTTTTCAGTTTTAAATATTATGTTAAATTAAATGCAATACCCCATCGCACATTTAATCACAGAACCTCTAAAATTGAAAACGTTTTTATTATAGAAAGTTTTGTTGCTTAAAATTATCTTATTTTTTTATACTTCGCCAAAAACTTTTACAAGAGTGTGTAGTATCAGTCTTCTTTTTGTAGATATCAATAAATTCACTCAGTAATAAAATCGAAAGCAAAGTTCTTCATAATGTATTATTCTAAAGCAGTTATTTGAAAATATAGGCAGCTTAATATTCAAAATGCATTTGTGACTGCAGACTCATAGTAATAAATAACAAAAACCGTAATTTGTTCTGTTGAAATACCATCAACAATATTTTTACAGGAAAAGTGACCAGAATATAAAATCGAAATGAATGAGTAAAGAGTGAAAACCCGTCTGGCTTTTTCCACAGTGAGAGAAAGAGAAGACAAAATTACGCAAAATGCGTAAAACAGTAAATTTTAGAAAAGTCTTTCAAAAATGTAGAATCGTATCTTCCATTGTAATAACTCTACAAAATAATGTAAAATATTAAAGGTTAGAACATAAAACGTGACAAATCCAGCACAAGTAAAAATGACGTAGACACCTGATCGGCGACAAACAAAAACGCAGCGTCAAAAGGGAGTCCCTCGGCACTCATTTGTTTACGTTCCGCAGTGATTGACAATTTTTAAAAGGCACCTACCGAAACCATTCTCAACATATTAGCATAAATTACAACCACAGGTCCGCGTCATGTCAGAGGAATTATTTAACAAGACACTATGAACTAGAACTGTTAGTGTATCAGTTAATCTATCACACGGTTGTCACAAATCAATCATTTCACCCGACTGACACTCACTAGCTGAAGATCTATCTTGCAGATCTCGCCGGCTGAACGCGACCCTGGCAGCAGCCGTGTATCCACTGCGGCGCCGGGCCTCGCGACGCGCACGCTCCAGCTTCCAGCTCTATCTGTATGCCCGGACTCGAGATAAAACCGGGGGGAAAGTCGACGACCAGCCCTTACAGACGACTCTTATCTTACAGACGGAGTATTTACACTGCTTTTCGGCACGCATGCAGCAATTAAATCCATCTCGAAATTTTTTCGGAGCCAGCGAATCGCTCGACCTGAAGCACCGCTCAGATTAACAAATGTTTAATTATGCGCTCCCATTATCGCGTATCGATTTAAAAACATACACCTTCTTCATTTTTCGCGTATCCATTAATCATTATTGTAAAATGTCGGATTATGGAAAGGCGACACATCGGTGGCTGTGTATGAGCAAGTGCTGGTTGAGGGAGAGATCGCTATCTCTGCTCGGGCACGTCGCAACCTTTGAATATGTGACAGATTTTTGTGAATTGACTGTGTGTGATCGTCGATGGTTCACACCGGTTGCTTGTTATCGCGAGAATGATCCCGTGTCAGAACCTTTGATTTATTTTTATAAACATATCTCTTTACGTGTACGACTGGGAGTTCCGATATCCGTAAAAGATTTACCCTGTTTGAACGAGGAAATTTAATTTGAAAATCACGCAACAGATGGGGAAAAAGAAGCGTTTGCGCCTAATGAGCCACCGTCGTTTAATACTCAGTCTATATGTATGCCTATAAAAATGCGTACGAGGTTCCAACACGTCTAACTGTACACCAAAAAAGTTCGAAAGAATTTAGACAGCACTTCCCTCGCAATGAAACGTGACCAATACACCGTCACTGTCAGAGTGTCTTTTTTTCATAGAGATTTCTTCTCAAAGAAATTTATTAGATAGATTAGAGAAAACAAAACTAATTTTTTCATATCACTTTTCATTAAAAAACTAGTCAACTTCTTGCTGAAAATTAAATTAATTCTAATGTGTATCATATAACATAACTACATAACTACTCAAAACTTACTGTGTTCTAGAATTTAAGGTTCCCAGAAATCCTATAGATTTAGATTTAACGCCTTTATTATTGCCACGGAATAAATGGCGAGATCTTTGAGCACCTGCTGTAAAATAAAACTTGCTCTCCGTTTTAATGTCCGTTGTTTCATTTTAGTTATCGAATTCAATTAATCAAAAGTCCCATTAAGCGTTTTCTTTATTGGTAAACTAAATTTATCGATTTTGGATCCAACTTGAGATTTGTCGTGTTAGTTATTATAACAGTCAACAACAGTCTCGAATGTCCTTTAACGCCACTACTTGAAATTAGGGCATTAGTTTATAAGACGCACATTACATGCGTATGACACACCCTTGACTCCAGAAGAACATAAAATTAGTTTCGGTTGCGTTAATTGATTCTTAGAAAAACTAGTTAATCAAGATAAGAATATGGCAAAATCAAACTCGTATAAAAGCGATAAAAGAAAAATCCTTCTAGTTACTTTTGTTGGGAACGTAGGTCGCAGAGAGCCACCAAATATGGGCAGATTTATTGTCATTTGTCACATCTGTCGTTTGGATTCTCCTGTTTCGTTCAGTTGTTTTTGCTTATCAAGTTTGCATCGCATCCAAAGATATTGGAAATACAGCGAAAGTGTGACCAATATATTGCGGGTGAAAGGAGTGAGGCGTCAGGAGTTTGACTGTTTGGTACAGTGGCGACCGGATTCTAGGACTTCTAGGGGCTATGATGAATAAAAATTAAAAAATAAAACTTTCATTGATTTTTAAACAAAATTTGTTTCAAAATGTTGCCATTTGGTTTTGCTGCTTCACAATGCAACCTGATATAAAATACGGTAGTGCACGGCTGTAGAATATAAGGTTGGTACACTGAGGGAAATTTGGTGGAATAAAATTTGGGTGTCCTAGGCGGCTTTGGCGCGCTTTAGATCGTTTCGCCATCTGTGAATTACGATTACACACTAACATCTTTATGAATGAAATTTTCCACTACTGCAATGGCAAATTGACAACTGACAGGCTGCCAAAACTGTCATTCTACTTCTAGTTGATGTATTATGATAGAAATTACTGTTTAAATTGGTTTAACGAGATCGCCAACTCAGAGAGAAACGTACATTTTATACATAACAAACCTCGGCAACCGCAGGTTTGTTCGATATTTCTAGCACTATTGTTTCATGTAAACAATCATTAAACAAGCATCTGCGATGACCAGATAAACACAGATTCCGTCGAAAAACAAGTTGACAATGTACTGGTTAAGAACTTTTCGGTAATTGATTACATTAGCCACCGCGATTTTGCCGAATCCGCCCCCACAAAAACCTCATACAACACCCCTGATCACGTTCCTACCTAACCTTCAAATGTTGTACAAACATTTCTCATAACATTTGAAGAGTAGGAACGCGATCAGGGCAGGGGCGTTGTATGAGGGTTCTGCAAAAACGGTTTCAGAGAAGTCGCATAGTAGCTAGTGTAAACAATGGTCAAAGACGCTTCCAAAAGATTGAACGTTTAACATAAAAATTATTATTAAATGCTTTGATTAAATGTCAAAGTTGTCATTTATGTCGGTACAATCGTGTCCTTTTGATGTGGCAAAAGTTAATGCCTCTAAATACCGTAAGAGGGACCCATTCGATAACGCGCGTCATGGCCAACTGGTACGGAAAGAAATTATTCCACCTACCGGAACGTGAATGAATGAAAGATACTCAACCTATCTATTCTACAGCCGTGCGGTAGTGTAACTCACAAATATAAAAACAGTAATATAAATGATTTTCGAAATATTCGACTAATTCCCTATGTTTGCCGTACCCTGTATACGTGTATCTGTCCTTTTGTAATTAAAATTACAGCATTTACTAAAATTTATTCATAGGAATCAGTGGTTTATCAAAATTTCAAAGAGGTTCGTTACGCACTTTTTAAGATAAACTGTAATTTTTTTTTTGAACATTTACATATTAAATACTAAACTAATAAAATTTAATGCATTTAACGTACTGACTTTATTTTATTGAAGAGGAAAAAGTCGTTGCCATTTCCATAAAAAACCAAAAAACAAATAATCCGTTTCAATTTTGAACATCTATTTGTTCAAATGTCTGGAATCTTACAGTAGAACAGCAAAACTGAGACACCCGCTATAAATTTGTATATGTAAAATATAAGACTAACATTTGGTTTAATGAACACATTCTTCATTTATTATTTTGTTATCATTATATGTATGTAATTCCAAAAAAATATTGTGAAACGACATATTTTTAATAAAATTCATTTAATATTTTTTTAAGTTGACATTAACAAATATCTGTAAGGATCACAATGGAAATTTTATGAAGATTCAATTTAGTGTCTTATCAAGATGTTATATAGCATAAAACAAAATGTAATATGGCAGTTTATAAAAGTTGTATAATTTTTACGATAACCTTTAACCTTACGATGCGTACAGTTAAAAATACGATACACTGTTAAACCACTAATCACGGGACATGTAGTCTAGTAATTTTAATTATTAGTTGCTGACATATACACAAATGAAAAGACGGAACGGAAAACCGACATTTTCGTGTTATACAAACTGTCAAACGCCGATAAAACAGGAAATCATACATACACTTTGTTTACATACGGTCGAGAATTAAAAATACAAATTTAACTACTCTGCGTACAATAATGGTAAAAAAAACAACATCGTCAATAAACATTATCATCAGTTACAAACTATATAATATTTTGTCAAAAGAACTAGCCAACCCCATCATCTCCTTGTCACAATTATGACGCCAATATATAAATACGAAAATAAACACACATTTATTTATCGCCCCTTATTAAGGATGAGCCCATTCACAAATAGGTATATACAGACTAGTTCTAGATCCCTTCTGATGAAACTTTAGACTTCATGAAGTCGAAAGTTTCCTAGTCATGACTCGTTTTTTGATGTCCAGAAAGTTCTAATTCATTTCAACGTCTTCAGAGGTATCGACTCTAGTAAACTGCATCTGCGACTTTTTTTTGATTTGTAGATTTGGTCGCGACTTTGTTTTCGTCAAAACCAATGAACCAATTTTTTTCTTAACCTGTTATTTGACCGTTGCCACCCTGCTATAATAATGGCACTCCACCGGAGAATGCACTCAGTTCCCAGGCATCGATCGCGTCACATACTCTTGGCTGCGTTTCTACCAACCAGCCATTTACGCTGTCAACGCTTATCAGCACTAAACTTTAGAAGCGTTGCCATCAACTCGAATATGATCTTGTTCGATCCAGCCATTGACGCACTTAATCTACACTTTCCACCACCTAGCAGCTGAAATAAATGTTTTGGGTGCTTCTAACAATTTAACTAACTGCCTTAAAAATTCTGCCACCGTAACCAAAAATTCATATTTACTTACAAACCACTTTTAAATCTAACCTATTGCCTACAATTGTCAGAATTTCAGCGTTGTTGATAATAAAATTATCGTAAACTCCCTGTAAAGCCAAACTGAATTGCATTTTATGAAATTTTTAAAAACACTAATATATTTTAGACGCTTAGAGAAAAAAATAGTATAGAGTACACTGCTTTACGGCAAGCATCTAATTACCAAATCCATCTGGAATTTTTTCAGACCTAACGAAATTGCTCAACGTGAAGAACATCTGAAATTCCCAAATGCGGTGCTTAATTATACTCTCTGATTATAACGTATTGATCAAAAACATACACGTTCTTCATCTTTCGCATATCCATTAATCATTATTGTAAAATATCGGATTATGGAGGGACGACACGTCGATGGCTGAGTATGAGCAAGTGTTGGTTGAACCGTTCAATACGTGACAGGTTTTTGTGAACTGACTCTGTGTGATCGTCGATGGTTCACACCAGTTGCTTCTTACCAAAATAATGATGTCGCGTCAAAAGCTTTGTTTATATTCTTTTTAAATGTACGATTGAGAGTTCCGGTATCCTTACAAGATTTA